TAAAAATACGAAAATTATTAATAATTAATTAAAACCAATTGACTGAAATCAATTATTTAAAGACAGATACAGCCACATTGGTTTCCATTTTAGTGACTTAGGTCAAAATTTTAAAAAGATTTTTTTTTCTCACATTTTAAAGCATTCAATTGAACAGAAATTTTATATACATGATTATTTTGGATGATAATACGATACTTTTATGATAATTAATGAAAAGTAATTACCACTTAATGTTGTGATTCTGTCATACATTATATACATATTTATATTAATTGTAACTATTTAATAAAAAGTAGCTAAAATAAAAATTTTTCTTTGTAGCTAAGTTAAATTTTTTTTTTATATATTACTTGTTTTACCTTGTAATCACGATCTAATATTGAGAGATATATTTATACTAAAATATAAAAATCTGCTGCTCTATATCAGTGATTCTCAAAAGGATACATATTGACCCTCCAGGGATCTATGATGGCCTGCAATAGATCTACATCTTTTGTGAAAATTTATATTTTAAATGCAATGGATCATTTATATTTTAAACATTTCATAAATTTTATTTTCAATGAATGGAATATCCCATTTACAGATGTCTTCCATTTATCTATGAAATATTTATTATACTATAAATACATATTTATCTATCTATATTAATATTAAAGAGTAAATAAATATTCATGCATAAGCAAACCAAGGTACCAAAGGATGGGAAATAATCAGAAGAATCCATTTTGACCAGTGGCGCACACAAGGGGGCCCGGACCCCAATCATGATTTTTCCGATTGGTTATAATTCTAAAAATTTAATGAAATATTTGTTATTAATGATTAATTTTATTAATTAATGCTAATTATTTATTCAATAATTAGTTTTTTACTGTGTTTTATTCCTAAAAATCGACAAAATTAGCATGATACAAGAATGGTGAACTTTCAACCCCAGAACCCCCTTGAAAAATTCCTGTGTGCGCTACTGGTTTTGACCATTTAAATTCCGAAATTACCATTAGTTATAAATATATTAACTGAAATGTTAAAATGAATTAATGTAATGCCACGTTGTAATATCAACTTTAGAGACTCCAAAAGATGCCAGGGGGTAAAATTTCCAACATTTCTGTTGTTTTTAAAAACGTTTTCCTTTCTTCGAATCAGAAGAGAAAAAAATAATAAATTCTAAATAGGATATATTGTTTATTTCATCACAATATATTTTATGTTGTTCAAAATAACAATATTTAGCTCTTTAAGAAATTTTTCCTAAAATGAGTAAATTTTGATGTTTTTTCAGGAATAGAACATTCAAATCGCTATGTATCTCATTCTCATGATTAATCACACCTACGTCTTCAAAGAGAGCAAAATTTATTATAAACCCTGTGAGTTAAAATATTGGATTCAACATAACTTTTTCTTTACGATTTTTGAAATTTGATTTAAACATTTAATAACTTCTATTTCTGAAAATAATTACATGAAACTTTTTTTCCTCTTGCCAAACCTTTTTATTCATGTTTTGAAAGAAGATTAAAACATTTGCTGCAATAGCAATGCGTTAGCAAAGTATTTAAAAGCAATATATACACTGCTTCATCCACTGATATAGTTTAGTTGTTAAAAATCTGAATGGTAGATTGAGTGAATCTCTTCAATTAGTTATCAAAGCAGAAGCTTATGAATCCAAGGTAATGTATTGAATACACGGTTATTTGCATAAATGTGAGAAGAAAAATTATATGAGAACTTTAATCATTAACTCATTCACACTAAAGTATACTGCCTTTAAAAGGCTCATATTTATTTGTGAAGGTTTTTTTTTTTAGATTTTGACGACTGACTGAGAGTTTTGTGATGTTATAGATAGGATTTTTTTAAAAAAAATTTCATCAAGTAGAAACTTAGATTTTACCTATTGAACAGATTTATTTATTAAATTTCATGAGATTAACATGCAGTTACAAGGCAACAACCTAAATTTCATTATACCAATGACCATCATTTTACCATTCCTAGCCAGAATTAAGCAAAAAGAGAATAATATTGGAAGTAATGAATTTTCCCAGTTTCTCATTTTGTCACAGACAATCTGCCAGGAACATGGCATTTCAAACTACATTCACTATTTAAATGCCCTTGATTAAGGTTTTGAAAATCGATTTGAGAATGTTTTGACCATGGTAATATTATGGAAGGCACTTAATTCATATGGCTACATCGGAAAAAAAAATGTCATACAAGAGGAACTTATCAGAATAGACTCTAATGAAGATCTTAAAATACAGCTTAGAAATGGATATCAGCAATTTTGGCTTTAAAAAGGTATACTTGTTATTTATCATGAATTATAGAAAAGCATGATAAAGCTTTTAATTGCTTTTTCTTGTGAAAAGGAATTTCAGCACGGTTGTGAATCTCCAAAAGAAAAAAAAATACTGAACACTACAAACAAAAGTGATTTAGGATTGAACCTAACATAATCTATACCAAATGTTCAAAAATGGTTAAAATACATCAGATTCATTCTCCTCATCAAAATTATTATTGTTGTCATTATTTGCTAAATTTTTTATGCAACAGGTAATTACGCCGTTATTTTTTATTAAGGAGCTTGGATACCTCTTATATTGGTAATTAGTTTTAAATTAAAAAATTAATATTTAAAATCAACATGCATTTATGTTTTTAAAAGTACACTTTTCCACAGTTACAAATTTAAATCTTTTAAATTAAGTAGCTCTATATCTGCTGTCAAAAAACACATTTTTAGTACATAAATTTTGGGAAAAAATTCAAACGTAACAGGGGTCACATCTATCGGGAAAATATGGCAAGTATCAAAGAGAAAAAAATTTGGGGCCATACACTCATTTCCCAAAAAATTTAAAACCCGAAGATGAAATGAAAAAAAATCAAAAATCTGCGTTGCCAAAAATTTGGCGTAAAGAGCATATATATTTATAAATAAAAAAAAATCAAAAATTATATCCCAATGAAAACAATATTAAATTTTCTAAGTTATCAGATAATGTCATACACTGGAACTTAAAAATATGTATAAAGTGAAATTAAACAGCATAAAAAAGAAAAAAAAAGGGCATTAATAGGGTATGGATCCCCCCTCTGTATGCAAAGTTTACACCGTCTGACCATGCTTTCAATTTGGTGGTCAACCACTGCAGAAAAGCAATCACCATTCTTCTTGTAAAAAGTTTCCAGATAAATAAACGGGGGGAAAATGAAGATACAACGAAAAGCATCCCCAAAAATTTTCAGTGGGATTAAGGTGAGGGGTTTTCTTCCCACACCATCGGCGCAATCCCTTCACTCTCCGGTAGTCCCCATGATGTCGCTCTATAGGGCGTGCTTATTGTTCATTAAAACAAAATAAGGCCAACTGCTGCGCGTACAATCTCACAATGGGGTTTTAGGACTTCATCTCGATACCCCCAAACGTCCGAACCCCGTTTAAAGATGTGCGGTGGGCGGTATCCCAATAAAACCCCCCCACACCATATGCTTCCCCCCAGTCGTGATGTTAGATGATGTTTTGGGGTGATTAAATTTTCTTCTTGTTTTTCCCATATCCTTTTTATGCTTGTCATCGGCTCCAGAACAAATCTTGTCTAGTAAACATGACATTGCCTAGTCAACAGTCCCAAATTTCCATGTTCCCGGCACCACTTTAATTCCCCCTTTATTGGGCGGATAGAGGAACAAACTTCGGGGACCGGGCATATAGTCCATTTTATGTAAACTTGGGACAGTAGCTGCAGATATAGCCTTACCATTGGATGCTGTAACCATAGATGTCACAAGTGTAGAGGTCCCTCTGCGATTCCGCTTGGCTACAATAGCAATATATTGATCTTCCCCGGGGTTTGTAACCCTTGGGCGACCACCAACGGGCCTTCGGACAACTGTCTGTGTGGTTTGGAATCGTTTCCATAAACGTGAAATTACAGAATGATGAACGCCGAAGAAAAGAGCAACATCTGTGATCGACTGTCCTGCTTCAATGCTCCCCACAGCACATCAACGCTCAAAATCTTCCATTCATTTTCTGGAAGTCATAGAAACATGTATGTCTTGAAAACAAATTGTACAAAAGTTTTAAACACCTTCTATCAGCACTTACAATCAACTTCTGTAACCCTTCATAAAGCTGGCTTCTTATAAGACTGCCCTTTTGGTATATTTCTTGACATGAAAGCACGATTGGCTGTTACTTAACATATTTGCATGCTTCCATCTACCTCTGCAGCGAATTGCATCCTCTTCAATTCTGATTGGCTTCCGGAAATTAGCATTTTCCTCTCCGTGCTTAACTTTTGGAAGTGAGTGTATATATATGGGGTCTTGATCTTCCCGCAAACCCCTTTCTTATTACGCTACTGTCCATGACAAAAAGAGATGCTATTAAGGTATCTCAGCATGTGCAATAGACTTTAAAAAATGATATATGAGGATATTTGATAAATAGAAATTAATTAGAAAAATTAATATAGAAAAATTTGTGAAGAAAAAAAATTATAAAAATATCAAAAACGGTAAGAATGGTGAAAATTTACACAAAAAATACATAAAAAGGACCAACTTTGTACAAAAACCATAAGAACAAATTTTCAACACTGTTGTGTTTCTTTTCTACAAAGCATTTTTAATAACCTACAAGATAAAATTAATTGTAACAAGTATTACAAAACAAAAATTTAAGTCAATTCCTTCTTAGGTTAACAAAGAAAAATATTATTTTAGTTACATTTAATTAAATAGTTACAATTAGTATAAATATGTTTATGCATATGACAGAATCACAATATTAAGAGATAAAATAGAAAGCAGTTTTCCCGGCAACTTTTTATTTTCCTTTGTATATAGGGTGTTGGACTATTTTTGTGTGTGTGTGTTTTGTTTGTCACTATTTATTCATTCATTAAATTTAATTATTCTAATAAAATAGTATAGTAAAAAAGAAATCACATTCTCAGAAATTAGGCCATCCCAGGTTGGATTTGAACAAACGACTTTTTGATTCTAAATCCAACACGCTATCCATTGTGCTACAGGGACACAACGAATGATTTTCTTTTCATATATACTGTTGGGCTATTATTTTTGTTTGTTACTATTTATTCATTTTTTAATTTAATTAATGAATTAATATTTGAAAAGCTGTATTAAAAATCAAGTGTCATCCATTACAAATTTAAAAAAATGTATTTGAATTTGAATGAATGAATGTAAAGTATTTTATTAACAATTGAATATTTGAACAAGATATATATATTTAAATAAATATAGATAGGAAGAGTGCAAACTAATAGTAGAAATTGAAAAAAAATCGGTACTAATTACTATCACTACAATGCTAATGTTCAAGATAACTCGTCAAGTTGGCAACCAAGATTTTCCATGTGTTGTATGTGCAACCATGTGCTTCTTTTACAGTTGCAATAATAGGCAAGCATCAAAAATACTTGTCATGCACATAAAAGAGACTAAGAATATTGTAATAATCCATTGATTGTAAATTGAAGTCAAAAGTTAACCATCAATTATTAATTTAAGTGAAAGAAATTCTACAACATGTACACGAGAAAATTTCTAGTTAATTACTTTTCAAAGACTTTTTAGAAATCCCTTTCTCCCATTTGAAATTTTTCTAAAAAAATATTTATCTAAAATATATTTTAAAGTTATTTTTGTGAATGAATGCTTAGACAGGAAGTTAAAATTCTTCACACTTATAAGTAGCAGATATTCATTTTTTTCATATTATGGAACAATGCCTTCTTTTAAGCCTTTTGATTTTTTATTTCATAAAGATTCTGCAAATGGTAGTAAACAATACTTATTTAAAAGCTTTTCTAAATTCTCTTTTCTAATAAATCTATCAACAGGAATTTGGGTACTTGTGTATTAACGTCACCGCAGCCAAATTTTAGTAGCATGAATCACATCCCGATATATCAGCAAAAGAAAAGAAGGAAAAAAAGATTCTGACATGTTTAATTTGAAAAAAACAAGCAATTGGTCACATATTGGTGAAAAGTGGCATGATTCATATGGTGCAAATTTGACTATGGTGACATTACAGGAATTAGTAAAAAAAAAATGGTAAATAGCGGAATTTGCAAATGTTCTGAGTTCCTTTATAATAAAGACTTGTCTCAAAGGTCACCAAGCTTCTTGGTGACTTGTTCAATACCAAGCGAGGTTGCAAAAATTTTTCCCAGTTCAAAATGCTAAGAAACAGAGTCCACCCCATTTTCTGAAAGTGGGAGATAAAAATCAAAGGCAGGGATTTTCTGTAATCCTCAAATAAGCATTTAAATCTGATTTATTTCGGAAGTTCTTTACCTTGTAAAGATTTGTAAAATGAAAAATATTTTTAAAAGAAAATATTTTTTTATTCCTGAAACTTTCTAAACATTAATAATTAAAAACAAAAGTTAAATATAAATCCTAAAAATATAAACTAAATACAATCAGAAGAAAATTAATATATTTAATTGTACATATGGAAAAAAATTAACTGTATTTGTGTATTACACTGTTGACCAATTATTATTGGTTCAAGTGTAGTATAGGGGGCCACTTGGCGCAGTCCTTTTTTTGGCAACTAAAACCAGTCGCTAAGGTACCTTTTTCAGAATTATTTATATTTATTTCAAAATGAATTCGATATCTCACCATGACATTTAGAAAAAATTCGCCAAATCCGAAGAAAAATCGCTAAATTCAAAGTGGACCCCCTACAAACTGTTTTCACTAATGAACAAAAAGAATAGTCTTGTTTGTACATGCAATACCTTTCAACAAAATTAATAGTCAGTAAAATACTTTAGTGCCAAATAAATTTACAATATAGTATTGGATGTATAAAAAATAACCATACATTAATAAAAAGAAAAGTACTTCACAGTAAGAAATTTGAATCCTTATTAATAAATATGATAGTGAAAAACAAAATCAATGATAAAAATGAAATATAGAAAAATGATACAAATTAAGAAATCTTGTCCAGATATATTAGATTTTCAATAATATCTTAAAATCAAAAGTTAAAGAAAAATCTAGGATTCAAAGAATGCACTTCAGAGGTTCTAGAAAGTTTTTTAAAACAGATTGAGCTTTTTTTATTGAATTAGATAATCTCTTTAAAAAACTGCCTTTACTTTTTACGGAGGAAAGACACCCAAAGTTTGAGGAGATCATCCAAAAAAATAGAGAAACCAAATCATATTTATACTAGAGAACTTAAAAAGTCTAGTACAAAAGAAAAATTCCAGTATATCCATCGTAGAAGTGGATTATAGCCAAGTATGCACAGCACTAAAATGTCAGTAGCCCAAAGAAAGTTTCATTTCGAACTATGCTCTGTTTTAGCAGAGTCAAAGTAAGAACACTTACAGCTTATGACACACACAAAGAGCAACTCCATTTCATACTGTCCAAGAGTAGACCTTGATAGAAAAAACATACTAAGCACGCCGACATAGCTCCATTCCAACCGTAAATCATCTGCCAGTTAGTTTCGAGTTTCGATTGACGCCCCAAATGGACCCTTTCCTTTCCCTATCTGATAAATTTTAACGGGCCTTAAAAGTGGATGGCATGACTGAAGAGAATTTTCCCTATCGATCGGGGGGTACATTATGGAGTGCTTAGCCCTTTCCCGGACTCTAACCCCCTATCCGGGTTTGTAGATGACGGTGAAAATTACCATTGCCCTTTTTTAAAAAGGATTTTAAAGAAAAAATAAAATTTATAAAAAAAAAAGTTTTTTTTAAGAGCTAAAAAAATAAAAAAATTTAAACTGAGACTGGGGGCGGAGAAAGGGCCCGCCCAAGGGGGGGCGCAGCAAGAACCAAGGATCGAAATAGAAAGGGGGAGAAATATGAAGTTCAGAGTTTATCATTCCCATAGAGAGGGCCCCTATTATGACCCAAAAGGGTTCGGTTTTAATGGGGTATAAGTAGATTTAGAAAATGGGAACCCAAATCAAAAGGAACTTGCGATTCAACAGAGTTGAATCGCAAGTATAAAATTTAAAAAAAAGGGAAAAAAATTAATTAAAATCGGGGGTTGCCCAAGACATCTTTTGGCCCTTTCTGAAAAAAAAAGTGAGAAAAAAATTTTGGGAATATCTTGTAAAAGATGGGTTTTTTCCCCCATCTATATCATTAAAAAATTAGTGGAAAGTTTGGGATCGTTTGTCTAATAGTAGGGATTTTGCATGCTGCCGTAAGGTCAACATTTCTAATATACCAATGAGCTTTTTAGAATGTGCCCGGGGTATTACTTTTTTGGGAGCTTTAAAAGAGATTAATGTTGGTTTTTTGCTGCGTGTCCCCAGACCGGGGGGGCAAAAGGGAAAAAGGGGTTTTAGGATCAGAGTGTAGATAAGCAATTTGTTACGTTTTACTTAATTTAGACTTTCGGCAGAAAAGGGGAAAAGTAATTATGCGTTGCATTTTTAAATTTGGTTCTAATTTGTGTTAATTTTGTTGTCGGAAGGTGAGAGTTTTGTTAAAAGATATACCCCAAGATATTTGGGTTTACGGAACCGGGGGATTTTTTTGATTTTAAAGGGGTAATTTCAGGGGTGGGACCCTTTTGGGGAAAAAGAATACTGCCTCTTTTTTGGGTTTTAAAGGGCGATCTTCCAAACGGAGAACCAGGTCTAAAGGTGAGGGTGGGTTGTATATTGATATTGTTCGGCGTGATGGGTTTTTTGTGTCTGCTGAGGATTGCCGTATCATCTGCATACATACATATCTTGTGTTAGTGTTTTTGAGAATATCATTTGCAAAAAGGTTTAAAACAAAAGGTTCCCGGGGATTGACCCTTGAGCGACCCCCTGCTTTGATGGGTCTTGTTTGGGGGGGTGATTAAATTTTAACAAAAGGCCCTGCCCTGATATGGGGAATTTTAAGATAAGGATTGGGGGTTGGAATTTTAAAATTTAAATTAATTTGAAGAGCAGGCCAGTGTGGGGCCATCCCCCGTCAAAAGCTTTTTGTGCCAAAGAAACACTGCACCCGTACTTTTCACCTTTATTTTTAAACCTTTCCCTTTTATGAACCCACAACGGGAGTATTTTGGTGGGTCGTGGGGGAACGAGGAGGGAACCCGTGCTGCCCCGGGATCAGTATATTTTACTGCCCAAGGTAGCCATTTAATCTGGGCTGGGGATGACTTTTCAGCCCCCCGGGAAAGAACAGGTAATAAAGAAATTGGTCGGTGCGTTTCCCGGGGTCGGGGGTTTTTCCCCAGGCTTTAGAATTTTACTCCTGCATTTTTCCCAGGCATTTGGAAAATACCCCTTAAATTTAGCATATTTTTAAATTTTGTTAGTAAAAGATAGTTAGGAAAAGGGAGAAATTTAAGCATTTTGTTAGTGATCCCGTCTCTACCGGGACTTTTCCCAATTTTGATTTTTTTAATGAAGGAAATAATTTCGAGGGAAGAGCAGGGGAGAGGATCATTATTGTTAGTATGATTATTAAGATGCATCAACAATGTTTGTGATTATCTCATCTTTGTGTGGGTTCTGAATATCATTTAATTGAAATTGACCCCTAGCGATTGAGCAATTACTTCTGTTTTTGTGTGTGTCGCTGAGAGCCCGTACCGTTAGGGCCATTAAGGGCTGAGATCGGGGGGGCCTTCCTCCTGAATGCTTTTTCGGTTCCCCAAAGAGAGCCGTCTTCAGGGCCCGAGAGGTAAAAGGGGATCCTCCCCTACCTTTGTCTGTATAAATTAACTTTTTTTTTAATGGTGTTTTTTAAGTCTGTTGAGTTCGGTTTTTTGTTGTGGGTGTTTTGGTGAATTGCCAGAGTTTTCTGGCTTTATTTTCTCTCTTTGAAAAAGGTGTTTTAGCTCACCCTGCACAAATGGTAGTTCCGGGGGGAATTGGCTTTGGGGGGCATTTCCGTGTGGGTGAGAATCTCCAAAATGAGATCTCTGACTTGGACTTCCTCTTGGGTTTGGGGCTGGCCGTATGGGGGAGAGATTTTCATTAGTTTAAGAATTTGAAATTTGCTCCATGTAGTATTCAGTTGAGG